TATAGATGATATTGGTCAACTTGTGTACAAAAATCATGGACTGTATAACTGATAATATATGTCACTTAGCTTCTCTAGTGAATGATGAGATAATTATTTGTCTCTCTAATTAGAATTACAACATAGCAAAGTGCAAAAACACAGTCTGTTTCAACTCCTTCATTGTATAAACAAGAAAATAATAATATTGGCAAAAAAATGTATTTATTGAAGTAACCACATGGTATATGCCATATTACCTGGAGTAATTATTACTCCCATTGTACAAACAAGAGACAGGTTTTCAGAGATTCAGTGACTCATTCAAGATAACAGTTTCAGGTAAATCAGCAAGAAGATTCTTGATGCCAAAATTTATACTGTTATCCATCACATTCCACTGCCAGATAAAATACCAAAATTTAGAGTTACTGAGCTAAAAGAAGATTCACTTCCACCATTTGCCTGTTATATATTTTATCAAGGTCTTAATAAAGTTGAGAGAACAAAAGTTACTTTTTATACCCCTGAAAGCATAAATAATTTCCATCATGTACCTTTGTGATGATGTTAACTGGGTTGCCTGGTAATTTATAACCACACTCAAACTTGTTTATTGAGTTGCAGAGGATATTGCTGAATTTCTCAGAAATATTCTTCTTCCTCCCAGAGAATAGAATTTTGATTTGAAGGCCACTGATTACCTTTCTCATTGCCCTGCCCCAGTGTCTTTTACAGTACTTGGTCCATAGTAAATGATCATGATAGATGTTCAAGAAATATTTATTCAATGAAGAAAACAGTTAAAGTGATCATACTTTTAATGTGTTAAGTATCTAGATGAGATGGTACATACCCAAGTATTCTGAAGACATTGTTCAAAATAATGATGAGAATGTTATTCATTGAGACCATACTTTGGAATTTAACTACAGTGATTAAGACTTTGTAAGTTTGAGCTCTGAGTGGGTCTTTAGAAGATAATTCTTGGTTTGAGAAAATATTTGTGCTGTGTAAGGTTAGGTGTTTACTATCCACAAAGTTCTTGAGCCTAACTAATATCATAAAGGGTAACCAGTTATTTTCTAAGCCTAGAATTTCTTTCCATCACAAACTGATTATTTTTCTGATGTTTTGTTAGATTTTAAGACTAATCTCCATAGGACAGTAAACAGCCTGATGTGATTCCTGTCTTTTCTGTTACTAATAAGGCACTCAGTGTAAAAAAGCTAGGAGGAGAACTCATTCAGCACAGAGAAATCCAGATAGGACTACTTATACAGAACAATAAAGTAAATTTCATTATTCTAACTAATTAAATTCTTTCCAGGCCAGGAAGAAGTTACCTTAAACATTTCCTGGGTTTCCTCATTGAGAATTAATAATATTCACTCCTGCATTTCTGCATCACTTAGCTTATATTTCTTATATATATCTCCATAAATACCTTGCTTCCCACAAATAGTTCTTGAATGCTTTTAGGTTGTGGTTTTTCTACTGGCTAACACATCTACTTAAACACTGCCCTTCAAGAATCTGCATGGCTTGTCTCTTAACTACCTGCAAGTGGTTTTGCTCAACTGTATTATCTTTTGTTTTGATTGTCTTTTTGTTTGTTTGATTAATTTTTGTTTTTGCAGTGCCAGGGATCAAATCCAGGGACTCACACATGACAGACAAGCACTCTAACATTGAGCTGCATCCCCAACCTCCATATCTTCTGTAATATTTAGCCTCACTGTCATGCTTAAACCAGGTGTACATATTTACTTATTTATTCTGCCCTATTCTTCTCTGAATTTTGGCATAGTACCCCAGTTTAGCATGTCATATAATTTACCTAAATATTGTATTAATTGTTGATGCTTGTCTCATGACACTGGAATATAAGCCTTGTGAGGTCAATATTTTTTTTCTTTTATGTTCCCTGATAACAATGTACTAAAACGGAACCTAGCATATAATAGGCAGTTACTAATACAAGTTAGATGAATGGGTAAATGAACCAATGAAGACTGGAATGCTGAGAAAGTGGCCAAAAGAAATATAAACAAATAGATTTTCTGTATCTTATCACTGACATTTTTAAGTTAGTGGGGAATGACAGTTTATTATATAAATAATGCTTGCTAATTTTGTGAAAATCAATATGGACCTTTGCCCTACTCAACTTAAAATACATTCTGAATAAATTAAGAATATTTCAAATATATATGTGCTAAATGAACTTTTGTGTGAATGGTTATCGGCTGTTTATGTGAGGTAAAATGACGCTGGTGACATTCTCTGAGACCTTGATGGTTTGACATAGCAGGAGTTTACATCTTGCCCATGTAATGGTTAGTATGTATGTCGGCAGGAGGAATGACAGTGATTCTATGACCATACTTTGCATCCTTTCACTTCACATCATCACTTGCGACCTCAGAGAGCTATGGATTTAGCTAGTGGACAGACAAAAGATAAGAAATAAAATACAGCATTAATCCTGCAAGACTTTTATGTCGAGGGTTAGAAATAGTACATAACCCTTCTATCCACATGTCCTTTGACAGACTTTAGCCACTTAGACACAGAAACTACACAAGAAATTGAGGAATACATGTAATTTTTTGTTTTGTTTTATTTTTCACTAAAAATAGTCTGTCATTGGATTGAGAAACAACATAGCAAACTCTAAAATCCCATGTTCAGAAGAAGAAATTTTTTAATGATAGCACCAATGATGACAGACATAGACAGTTAGTAAATCAAACTACATCAACATAAGATATATAAATATGTTATAAATGCCATAAGATGGCAAACAACAAGGTAAACATAAAATGTGGCATAAATAGTTAATAATCAACTCACTGACATGATTAGCAAATGTTAAGCCCATGTGATATGCAGAATTTATAGTACAAATATTACAATTGTTATCAAGTCAGAGAGGATCTCTTCCCTCACAGAAGTTGAAGTTCATTGAGTTAGCATTTTTGAACAGAGAGTAATTAGTATAATCACTTCATTTCAAGCAATATGAATTGTCCAACAGACAAATAAATGATAAAGATAAACAGAATTTGAATGACTCAAATGCCTAAGAACCATGTTGTAGTATTTAACATCATTAATATTCCAGCACATTTAAATGATAACTGAGGAAATTTTCTGCCTTTCAAAATAACTATGTTTCATGATCTATGGTCAGGTTATATCTAATGGTGAAACAGGTAATTTGGTCTTTTTTTAGTTTCTTTTTTGTCTTTTTTTTTTTGGTGCTAGTATCAAACCCAGGGCCTTGTGCATTCTAAGCAAGCTCTCCACCTCTGAGCTACATCTCAGCCCAAAATAAGCAATTTGGAATTATAAACTTAACTGTAATGGAAGAAGAATAAGAGAGTACACAAAGATAGCATATGATATAACATACAAATATATTTTTATGACAAATAATTTTGCATTAGAGGACATTCCTAAAGAGGAACCGCTAAAAAATTCTAATTGTAATCTGAAATAAAGTTAAACAGTTATACACAAACACATACATTCACACACGAATATACATATATATGTACCATGTATATATATATGCATGCATATTGATAAGTAATACTTTTTATTTTCTGTGAATGCCCCAATTTTATTTGTAAGGATCCATATTAAATTGTTGCTAAATAAGACTTGCATCCTAACATGAAAGGTAAGAGATTTTGTAAGCACAATGTAACTAAGATCTTCAAACCTCAAAAATTTTCCTGTTTTTTTAAATGAAAGCTTTTTATGTGGAAAAACAAAAAAGGATAGGGGCATCATATGTAAATATAATTTGTTGATTTTGAAAATAGATATTGTACAAATTAATGCACTAAAATTTCTAAAGGGCCAGTTAGTTTCTACTATCACTAAACCCCAAAACTCAAAGCAAAAAAAAAAAAATACAAAGAAATCAAAGACTAAATATATCTCTTGAAATTTGTCTATAAGTAACTTCATGAAATATACTTAGCAAAGCCCATCTCTAATTTCAAAATGGTGCTATCACCTGCTAGTCATTTTAAAAGATAAGTCAAAAATACCATCTTAAAAAGATATCATAGGATACTTTAAAAGTATTTTATAAATGAATTTTACTAAGTTACACTAGTGTACACTTGAAAGTGAAAATTCACATAGTGTTCAATTAATTAAAGCTGCTTAGAATTTATTATTTGGAGTATATAAAATATTTAACTATCAGGGGTGTTGTCTCCAAGGATAATAATGACGAATGTTGAAACTTATTCAACTTAATCATTTTGAAATAACCTGCCATCCAGAACAAAACGTCATCTGTGAATGTCAGCACAAGGAATCTCCCTGGATAGCTATCTTCATCTCAAAGTCTCTTTTCATCTAATATGTTTTCTCTTCAACAAAATCAGAGAACAAGAGGCCAGAACAGGCTTTGCCCAGAAGCGGGTGTGGGGGGGAGGGGAGGTGGCCCAAATAATGTATACACATGTAAGTAAATGTAAAAGTGATAAAAATAAAATTAAAAGAAAAGAAAAATTTTAAAATGGATGGAATTGGAATTTAAGCAAAGTTAGCCAGGCTCAGAAGGCCAAAAATTACATGTTCTCCCCCATATGCAGATTATAGACCTAAAACAAATGCAGTAATATTATTGGACATGGGTCACACACTAAGGGCAGAACATGCACAGGAGGAATAGGAAAAGGGAAGGAACTTAAAACTTGAAAGTGTTTGATTACTATATTCACTGTAGAGGAATGAATATAGTAATCTTAAACTGGCAGAGGCCACTACGGGAAGGGGACTAGGAACTAGTGAAGAGGTCTAATAGAGATGAACCAATTTGGGTTGTAATGCACATATGCATGGGAACAACACAAGGAATTCTCCTTTTCAACATTAAATGGCTTTTTCCTACTCACTGGAAAAAAAAAAAACAATTCCCTCAAAGTGATGAGAAAGAAATAACTTCCACAATTTCTAATGATCTCATTAGAAATTGCATCATACCTTTAAAGCTTCTACTTATTTAAAAATGCTCTACTGATTGCTTTGTTCATGGCCTCCTTTACAACCTTGTTCCTGAGGCTATAGATCATGGGATTCAGCATAGGAATTACTGTAGTGTAAAACACAGCCACCATCTTCCCCTGCTCCACAGATTCCTCAGTTGGGCTTCTAAGATACATGACGTGACAGCTGTCAAGTGGACCCACATGTGGAAAATGCTTTCATTCTTCCTTCTGCAGAGTGCATTCTTGTGATGGCAATAAGGATGAATATGTAGGAGACAATAATGACCAGTAAGGAATAAGAGAAGTTGAGACCTGCTAATGTACGCATGGTGTATTCTTTAATGAAGTTTCCAGCACAGGCCATTTTGATGAGGGCTGGATCTGCACAGTAGAAGTGGTTGATCTCAATGTTCCCACAGAAGTACAAACCATGGGTCCACAGGGTTGAGATAAAACTTATAAAGAAGCCGTATACATAGGGGAAAGAGATCAATTGAATACAGACAGTTCTTGACATTCTGCTTCCATAAAGCAGAGGGTTGCCAATCGCCATGTATCGATCGACAGCCATCACAGCAAGGATGAAGACTTCTACGTGGACAAAAGCAATGAAGAGAAAGCACTGCACTATACATCCATTATAAGAAATGGTTTTTGTCTTCGATAACAGATTTTCTAACATTTTAGGGGTGACATTGGAGGAGAACCACACATCTGCAAAAGACAGATGGCTAAGGAAGAAGTACATGGGACTGCTGTTGAGCTGAGGGCTAATTCTGATTAATATGATCATGCCAATGTTCCCAATCAATGTGATAATGAAGACTAGTAAGAAAACCACAAAGAAAAGGAGTTGTAATTCTGGACGACTAGTTAATCCTAGAAGAATAAATTCTGTTACATCAATAAAATTGAGTATTTTCTTAAATCTGGTTCACAGAGAGAAGCACTTTATCTAATAAAAACAAATACAAATCAGTAAATACAAAAGGTAGAGCCATTTTAACATTTTCTTAACCCATTTGCTTTCAATACTTCACTAATTTCTCTTCTTTGTATATAGATTACTACCTATTCTTTTTATACATGGATATATATATATATATATATATAGCTTTTATTTAACAGAAGTGATAAAATGACTTATTTTGTCTATCTTTACTTGTCTAGAAACAAAAATTTCAGAAGGCAATTTTTATTCATGTTGTCTTCTGGAAAGAGAAAGACCGTTTTATCAGTGGTCCTAACTTTTAAAAGGTGTATATTTATTATTTATTGAATAGATTTGTACAATGTAGAAATCTACTCATACATTAGAAATTTATTCAAAACCTCAACAATTCTATTCCTTACTCAGAATGTTAAATGGTTCCTCTATATAGTCATCTTGAATATTTAAATGATTTATTACACAAATTATTTAATAAAATTGAATAAATGGCTTAAAATAAATCTATTACACATGCAGAAGAAATAAAAATCCATTAACGTATGAATCACATTAAAAAAATTCACCTGAAGCAAAATTCAATCCTTGCCAATCATGTCTGCAAACAAGCCTGGTTAGAATGCACCAGGAATCACCTCCTCTTAAAATGTACTCACCTTTGACTCTGAAGAAGTAACAAACTCTATGACAATCTCTTAGTTTTTTTTCTAATTATAAATGTGAGTAACAAAATAGTAGTGAAATAACAAGTGAAATCCAATATTATCATTTATAAATGTTTAAATTTAAATTAATACAAATTTCAAAATGTACCAGAAAGCTCAGGAAATCTGTTAGGTAGTTGGAGACAAGGTTGTTTTTGGCTTTTGGCTATTTTAGATTAAGATGTCTTTTTTTCTACACTCTAGAATATCATAAATACGTTGAACTAATTTGCAAATGGAAATCATATTAAATTCCATTTATTCCTGAGCCATTTATTTGTAGTCCTTCATAAAATTATCCTATAATTGCCTACCAACATACAAGTTAGTAAAACATCATTTTGATCATGTTGTGTTAGTGTGTAATAATGTGAAAGAGCTGAAAGAGAATAAAGATTGATTTGCATATCTTGTGTTTTGCATTAACTATTAGATATTCACAAATGAAATATTTTGTTAGTAGTAAAATGGCACTATGGGCTCAATTACCAGCTTTGCTATTTACCAAACTTGCGATCTTACCCTAGCTATTTTACATTCTTTGCCACAGTTTCCTTAAGAGTAAATGAGGAATAAGAGGGTATGCTAAATATGGTTATTTGAGGATTAATTGAGATAACTTTAAGTGAAGTACTGTAAAGTGGATACACTGATTAAAAACCCAAGCCATGAATTCTAATCTGTCTCTGTTACTATTTTTTTAATTTGGTGCTCAACTTCCTCACTTGTAAAAATTAGCAGATAAGATGAACAAAATGAGTTCCACTGATGTCATGTATTTTTAATAGAGAGAGCTATTAAAAATTCAAATTTTATTTTAATATCTCCTTTTATACCTTAAGGAAAAACATAGTTAGCACTTGTTGATTTTTCTAAATAGCTTTTAGTTTATCTTAAGGTGACCAAAGAGGAACTGTAAAACACTTTTTATGTTTCTCAGAGTTTTAGATACTACTTCAGGGTATCCACTACTGACTAAAAAAGACCTGCTTTGTTTTTAGGAGGTTCTCAAGTTTTCATAGTTAAGAGTGTTATTTGTAAATACATGATGTTGTGATTGTTCTTGTCTTAGAGAACTACCAACACAATACCCAGAATGAGAGGAAGATGGAGGATATCTCTAATGCAGTACTCAAGTTGTCCTGCAAGTGGGTTTTCTGCAAAATGGAAATGTCTAAGAAAAAGTCTCTAATGTTTCATCTTTAACATTACCTGGCCTGGTATTTTTAATCCTTTTTAAGGCATCATTAGTTAGAAGGAGTAAAGAAGTTAAAATATGTAATATTCGTATTAAAAGAATTAATATGAACATATATTATATGCTCTTTATACTAACAACTGAAATATGTAAATACATTTACATACATAAGCACACAAAATTTATATAGATCCACTTCTTATCACTATCTTTAAAAAAGAACTCTTTGCAACTACATCATGAAATTATAAGGATAAATTAGATATTAAATGAAAAACATATTTCAGATATACAGTTGTATAGAATGTAGAAAACAGTCTTAACTTTTACCTTTATAAGGCAGCATATGTTTACATTGGATCTATTTAAAAAGAGATGTTGTGTATTTATATGTTCCACTAGAAAGATTTGTAAAGAATAGTTAAAAATATTAATTTTCATGATACAAGAAAATGAGGTTTAATTGAAGAGAACATTCATTACTCACCTCTTGAAGATTGTTTCCTAGGCTGAAAAAATTGAGATCAAATAAGATGACACAAGACAGTAAAGGTGAATGTGACACACAGGAAGCAATGTTAGCTAGTATTGATTTTGCATATAGCTCATACATACTCATTCATTTTGCATAACTCATATATCATACACATTTATGATAACCTCTTCATCAATCCCCCTTATGATAAGCATGTCATTGAACTCTATTGGCAGATGAATTTTCTCCTGCCAATCTGAGTCATTCACTGCCAAAATGCTCATTAAATCCTGTGTGTACCCGTACCAGCTACACAATAATTTAAGGTATTACTGCTCCTATGTTGCAGTTTAAGCCCTGTTAATTTGTTTCTTTATTACTTACTTATTTAAAGATTTCTAGAAAGCTCACTGCTTCTCCTTTTATGCACTAACAACTTATTAGAACTTATTTCTAATCTACAAAGACACACCCTTTGTTTATTCATCCAAGATCTGCCCTTTTCAACTTATTCCCTAGAATTTTTCTGTGAAAAATTCACCTCACTTTTCTGTGAAATCTTTCCCTCCCAATATCATTTCACAATTGGAATGCACATAACAGGCAAACACGGAGCTTAGAAAAGTAAGAAATTATGTTCTTACTTTCTTAGAGCATTGCCAGTGATTAAAATAAGTAGGTAGCATTGTAGATAGTCTCTAATAAAATGTCAGGGACAAAGGATGTTACTTCATTCAATTGTGAAATCAATTAAGAGAGAAACAGAGAGGCAACTCCATTAACACATGCTCTACACTTCAAGGAGAGTCCATCATTCCCTTTTCTTTCTTCAAAAAGATTGGTCGTTTTCCAAATATCTATGTGATAATCCATTTATGTTCTTGTCATACTATATGCAAACACTTTGAAAGAGCATTTTTTACAGCTTCATTGATTTATGTGATGATTAGTAAACCTTATATATTTACAGGTACAGTTTTACTTATTCCTTTTTGACAGTAAAGCAATTGGAGGCAGGAAATTAAAAAAAAAAAGAAATGCTATTAGACTTCACACACCAAGTGCTAAATGCATCAAGGAGTAAGTTAAGATGTTCTTGGCTTTGAGGAAGCCTCATTTTTAGTAGCCATTTAATGACAAATTTGAATAGGTGAGTTGGAGATCAAATTGTTGACACCGTAATGAAATCTATCTACATTTGTTACCAGTTCAGTCTGCTGTGGAACAACTGCCACCCAGTTTGGGAAATTCCTAGCTTGAGAATGAAAGCTTTAATTCTTGGGAAAACGCATGTTTCTAGTCAATCCAGGAATGGTGGTCACCACAGGAAGTATCAGAGCTCATTAGTTAAACTTCTTACAGAAAATTGTATAGGGTTCCATTTATAATATGACAAGGGATACTTGTCTCTGGATGATGCGAAGTAAAACAACATTTAAAATATTGAAGAAGAAAGGGATAAAAACGAACCGGTGTATTCTAGATAATATAGGATAATTTGTTAATGTCTTGTGGAAAAGTAGAGTCTTTGCTAAATGACTGAAAATATGTTGCTATTGTACAGATATTAATACTGTATAAAAGTTTAGAGCATGCATGTGAGAGGGAAGCAGAGGAATTAGTAATAGTACATATTATCATAAAATAGCTTTAAAAAACAGAACCACAGTTCCTTTTTACTACTTAATAACACTTTATGAAAAACATTCTCATTGTTTGTTTAGATTAAATGATGTGCAGTCCTTAGACTGGTGCTAAAAACCCAAAAAACCATCCACAACAGACCTCCACTGCCACAGTGAAGTGTCTCCAATTTCACTTCCTAGAATCCTTCCATAGAACATCCCCCTCCTAGAATTCCGAGAACAGCTGAGAGAGCTGACATGCTGGTCTGATTCTCTCTGTGCTTGAACCTACCTGTGCAAGAAGAGGCAATGTTCCTGGAAACATTGCATCTGTTATCAATGGATAGTTTAGAAGCATTTATAAAGACTGAGTTAACTACTATGGGGCTTTATCTCTAGAGAATACAGGAAGAAACCTGAGGAATTAATTAAAATGTTACATATTGCATCATCTAGAATAGAAAATGAGTCTCAAGAGTAAAATAACACAAACATGTATATGTCAGGCTTTAATCAGATTAACCTCCCCATGACTTACTTTGTACTTTGCCAAGGCAAAGCCCTCTTGGACTATCAATATAACATGTTAAAAATTGAAAGACAATTTGATTTTTTTTGAGGCTATTGTAAATGGAATTGTTTTTATACATTCTTTTTCCATTTGCTCATTGTTAGTGTATAGAAATGCTAATGATTTTTCTATGTTGATTTTTATATCCTGCTACCTTGCTATAGCTATTGATGATGTCTAGAAGCTTCTGAGTAGAGTTTTTTGGGTCTTTAAGGTATAGGATCATGTCATCTGCAAATAGGGATATTTTGACAGTTTCTTTACCTATTTGTATTCCTTTTATTCCTTCTTCTTGCCTAATTGCTCTGGCTAGGAATTCCAGTACTATGTTGAATAGGAGTGGAGATAGTGGGCATCCTTGTCTGGTTCCTGATTTTAGAGGGAATGGTTTCAGTTTTTCTCCGTTAAGTATAATGCTGGCTGTAGGTTTGTCATATATAGCTTTTATAATGTTGAGGAACTTTCCTTCTATTCCTAGTTTTCTTAGAGCTTTTATCATGAAATGATGTTGGGTCTTATCAAAGACTCCAGAGGCACCTGCACACCCATGTTTATAGCGGCACTATTCACAATAGCCAAGTTATGGAAACAGCCAAGATGCCCCACCACTGACGAATGGATTAAGAAAATGTGGTATCTATACACAATGGAATTTTATGCAGCCATGAAGAAGAACAAAATGTTATCATTCGCTGGTAAATGGATGGAATTGGAGAACATCATTCTGAGTGAGGTTAGCCTGGCCCAAAAGACCAAAAATCATATGTTCTCCCTCATATGTGGACATTAGATCAAGGGCAAACACAACAAGGGGATTGGACTTTGAGCACATGATAAAAGCGAGAGCACACAAGGAAGGGGTGAGGATAGGTAAGACACCTAAATAACTAGCTAGCATTTGTTGCCCTTAACACAGAGAAACTAAAGCAGATACCTTAAAAGCAACTGAGGCCAATAGGAAAAGGGGAACAGGTACTAGAGAAAAGGTTAGATCAAAAAGAATTAACCTAGAAGGTAACACCCACGCACAGGAAATCAATGTGAGTCAATGCCCTGTATAGCTATCCTTATCTCAACCAGCAAAAACCCTTGTCCCTTCCTGTTATTGCATATACTCTCTCTACAACAAAATTAGAAATAAGGGCAAAATAGTTTCTGCTGGGTATTGAGTGGGGGGAGAGGGAGAGGGTGGTGTGGGTGGTAAAGGAGGGGGTGGAGGCAGGGGGGAGAAATGAACCAAGCCTTGTATGCACATACGAATAATAAAAGAAAAAGGAAAAAATTTAAAAAATTTAAAAAAAATAAAATTACAGAAAAACAAAACAAATACAAAAAAAAATTGAAAGACAAGAAGCTAAAGCAGTCCTTTTCTGGGGATGAGTATCAGTGGGAGGGTGAAGAGCATAAAGAGATGAACCAATGTGAGTTACAATATACGAGTGCATGAAACCAATGCTAGGAATTTCTCTGTATAGCTACCTTTTATCTAAAACTAGCAAAAACAATATGTCTTTCTTGTTATCTCTTATCTTATCTTTTCAGTAAAATATGAAAACAAGAGGGTAGAGCAGGTTCTGCCCTTAAGCTGGAGTGAGGGCGGGAAGGGGTGCAGGGGAGAAGGGGATGGCCCAAACAATGTATACACATGTAAGTAAATGTAAAAACACTAAAATAAGAGAATGGAAAAAAAAAAAAGGGAAAATTATGGCAAATATGGTGGATGTGTTTTGTATTCATTTATGAAAATATAATAAAGAAACTTGTTGAAATCCTTCTAAGAAGTGGTGGAGTAGGAAGGATGAGGGATAATGATAGAGGGGGTGAATCTAACAGATATATTGTAAGCACATATGTAAATATCACAATGTATCCCCCTATAAAACTATTATATGATAATGAAAAGTAAATTTAAAAAGTAAAATAACTGTGAATAGAATTTTAATTTTTCAGAATCCTTGTAACCATATAAAATATGTTTGGTGGTGAAAAAGTAATCATGTCTTATTGTATCTTATATAATAGAAAATAAATCTGAAAAGCAAAATAACTTTCAATAAAGTTAGAATTTTAAAAACAGATCCTAGAAAAATGAAAGATTTTGATTTCTTCCTGTTTTAAAATGGTTTCTCTGAATTCAGGCAACCATATTGCATTTGTTTGGTGGGGACAAAAAAGGCTTAAGTTTGTCATACAATAATAATGTCAGTATTGTGTCAGTTACAACCTATATTTTGAATAACCTATACTTTCTAGTTGGCAAACACTAGGACATTTCTTTATATCAGTGAAAAATTATCTTCCCTATTTCAATAATAGTTTTTAAAAAGTTAGAAAATAAAGGAAGATACAGCTCCTATGCACATGTCATTGATGAACCTTACTTCTCCTCTTCTGAAAGAGTTAATTAGTGCTCTAAAACCCAACTTAATCTCTAGATTGGTGCTGATAAAAAATATTTTTGTGCTCAGCCGATGGTGCTATTGGGAGGTATAATCTTAAGTTGTGGTATCTAGAGGGAGGTCCCCTAGGCATTGGGGACACGCAGTTGAAAGAGCACTGGAATAATTTCATTGTGTTTCATTGTTCTACATTCATATATGTGTACAAAGAAATGGTGGGGGTTGAGGAGGAATTAGAGAGGGAGGTAAATTTGATAGAGATATAGTGTTTGCATATATGAAAATATCAGGAGAAACACCTTTGTACAATTAATATATGTGATTAAAAAACAGAAAAAAGAGTATTCATTAAATTCTTAATCTGTAACAACAAAAGTGGAAATAATTGTTTATTAATAGAAAATGAAAGGATGTTGGAACCTCAGCCCATTCTTCTTCCTCTCTCTGACTCCCCTGCTCTGAGGTGAACAGCTGTGCTCCCCATGTGCCCTCCACCATGCTGTGCTCGCTTGCCAGAAGCTTAAAAGGAACAGGGCCAACCAATCATAAACTGGAAATTCAAAAACTATGAACCAAATCAGCCTTTGTACTTTACAACTTGATTACCTCAGGTATTTGTTATAGTAACAGCACCAGGCTAACACACCCAGAAATCTTTTTTTTAATTTTTTATTTTTTTATTCATTTATTCATATGTGCATACATTGTTTGGGCCATTTCTCCCCCCTGCTACTCACACCTTCCCTCTCTCCCCAATCCCCCTCACTTCCAGGCAGAACTTGTTCTGCCCTTTTTTCCAATTTCGTTGAAGAGAAGACATAAGCAATAATAAGAAAACCAAAGTGTTTTTGATAGTTTGAGATAAGGATAGCTGTACAGAGAGATTCTTAGCATTGCTTCCATGCACAAGTGTGTTATAACCCAACTTGGTTCATCTCTACCTGACCTTTTCACTAGTTCCTGATCCCCTTCCCATGTTGACATTTGTCACTTTAGGTTTCTGTATTAGTTTCTTTGCAGTGGACACATCAAACACTTTCATGTTTTGGGTTTCCGACCTATCCCCATACCTCTGGTATGTGCTCTCCCCTTAGCGTGTGACCCAATTCCAACAACATTGCTGTATTTTCCCTAGATCTAAAGTCCGAATATGAGGGAGAACATACAATTTTTGGTTTTCTGAGCCTGGCTAACCTCGCTCAGAATAATGTTCTCCAGTTCCACCCATTTACTTGAGAATAATATTTCATTCTTCTTTATGGCTGAGTAAAACTCCATTGTGTGTAAGTACCACATTTTCTTGATCCATTCATCAGTGGTGGGGCATCTTGGCTGTTCCCATAACTTGGCTATTGTGAATAGCGCTGCAATAAACATGGGTGTGCAGATGCCTCTGGAGTAACCTGAGCCACATTCCTTTGGGTATATCCCCAGGAGTGGGATTGATGGATCATATAGCAGGTCTATGTTTAGTTTTTTAAGAAGCCTTCATATTTCTTTTTCCAGAGTGGTTGCACTAGCTTGCATTCCCACTAGCAGTGTACAAGGGTGCCTTTTTCCCCAAATCCTCACTAACACCTGTTGGTGGTTTTTTTGATGATGACTACCCTAATAGGGATGAGGTGGAATCTTAGTGTGGTTTTGATTTGCATTTCCTTTATGGCTAGAGATTGTGAGCATTTTTTCATGTGTTTTTGGCCATTTGAATTTCTTCTTTTGAGAAAGTTCTGTTTAGTTCACTTGCCCATTTCTTTTTTGGTTCATTAATTAGGAGAATTTAGTTTTTTGAGTCCCCTATATATTCTGGTTATCAGTCCTTTGTCTGATGTGTAGCTGGCAAATATTTTCTCCCACTCTGTGGGTGGACTCTTCAGTTTAGAGACTATTTCTTTTGTTGTTCAGAAGCTTTTTAATTTTATGAAGTCCTACTTCATAAATCTTACGATCATAAAAAAAAAGCCAAGGAGAATGGTCCTAGAATTCCAGAAGACCAGAAACAGTTGGTCAGTACATTTATGGGAGGATGTCTGGTACCATCTCTGAATGATAAGCCCCAGTCACTAGTGAGGGAAGATTTGTGTAAAAGGTCTTCTGTATGTGTGAAATCTATGCCCTGCTATTTGGACAAACAGGAAAGGCCAAGAGCCTCCCTCTGTGTTTTTCACTCAACAGTCCTAGACATGTTGTGAGAAATGTTTTGGTTTCCTTCAGTAGTTTTATTTATGGTGTTTTTCTCTCATAAAAAACTATAAAAAATTAACTCCTTAATGTATGTGATTTGATAAAAGATGATAGTTATTTTCTCATATTTCTGGGGGAAATAATAGCTGTTTATACATGTTTACAATTCTACCAATTTG